TTTCACTTCCAACCTGCTGCACCTTACTGGTGAGGCAGTAACTCATCGAAGAAGACATTGAGAAGTGGTCACGCTATGTCATGAATTGGCAGAAGTTAGAAGTGAAGAAGTGAAACAGTATGGACTAACATGGATGCAGGTGAAAAGTACAGAAGACAGAAACAAGTGGAGACGTGCAGTTGAAGCCCTATGTTCACTAGGAACCCAAGGGATTATATATTTCATGGGTCACTGGATCGGGTCCCAATGGTTTAATGGTCTACGAGCTGTAACCAGAAGGTCCTGGGTTCGAACCCTGGTTGTGGGTGTGTACTGCTGAAGGGTCCCAAACTAGGACGAAACAGCTGTCCAGTACTCCATGCAGGTTTTCCAATGGTTCTCTAACTGATGTCAGCTTGCTTATAATTATTCTGTTAATTCATGATTAAAGATGACCTACCTTAGAACAATTATTCTTGAATCTTTCTATCATCAGTTTTAGAATGTCACACACTTCAGATATAAGTTTTCTAGTTAGCGTCTGAACACAGCATACCAGTTTAAACGAGGGAAAACAAAAAAATCCAGCTATCTAACACCTAACATTAAATTATAACAAGAGTAATCCTTGTATGAGAAATTTTAAAAACCATACAACATAACTTTCACCTGTTCATCAGCTGTCAATCATAGCGTAAAAATATGATTAGTTAAATATGTTCCAAAACAAGAAAAGGCCAGCTGTTCACGTCCCTTAAGGATGATAATGGATAAATAGATAGATAGACAGACAGACACACAGACAATAAATACCGGCAGATAGATAGATAGACAGACAGACAGATACAAATATTCCATCTGTCCAATTGTCATACATACTAATCTAATGCTAATTGACATTTATAATGAGAACAGAAGTATTCCCATGAAAAAATTAAACCAGTTGATGACAGAAAACTTGACGCGAAATTAGACCAAATTGAGAACACAAAAGGAATTTGCAATTGACCTAATTAGCATTAAATAATAATAATAATAATAACATTTTCAAGTAATGGTTTTGTAGGGATTGTGTTTGATTGGTTGGAGGGTTTCATCATGAGCTGACATCATCGGTTAGAGAACCATTGGAAAACCAGCAGGGAGTACTGGACAGCTGTTTCGTCAGCCCAGTTTGGGAGACTCTTCATCAGTATGCAACCACAGTCAGAGTTCGAACTCAGGACCTTCTGGTTACAAGGCTAGCGAGCTTGTAGCCCATTAAGGCACTGGGACCTGTCCCAGTGGATGCGTACTGTTGAAGAGTCCAAACTAGGACGAAACAGCTGTCCAGTACTCCCTGGTGGTTTCCAACGGTTCTCTAACTGATGTCAGCTCACGATAAAACCCCCAAACTAATAAAAACATTGTTTGGATGACAAAACATAGCGGTATAAAACTGAGTGTACGACAGATTAGAGACTGAGATCACGCCTATATTGTTTAAAAGTCAACGTCATTCCCAGTCAATTGGATAGGTAGGTGGAGAGGAAATTTTGAGAAATTAATCTCATGGTTAACGCTAATAACTTTGCAAATTGTCAGTTTAACATATGGTATAATACTAATAATACTGACCAATGACAATTATACTGAACGGAATTTTCAGCGTTTTTTATACATATTGCAACAATTTAGCTCCTTTTATAAATATGCAGATACATCGAAGTAACATAAGTAATAAAAAACCAAAAAAAACAACTGAAGGATGGCAGAAACATAATGAATTATAGATTGATAATCCGGGCTAAATATGGTATGGTTCAATTTCTTAAATCTCGCTATACAAGCTTAAATTCACACGAAATTACTTCTAGCTTTACCTCAAGGAGAAATTTTCGAAAAAAGAGGATGTTCGATATCAAGACAAGATAACTTTAGCTAACAACTACTCCTCTGCACGAATTAAACTGCCTGTCAACAAGAACAATGGTCAGTCTGTTGTGTCAAAGGTGTCAAAGGCACACCACTAACCCTGCCTGCTTATAGTCTTCAACGTTCTACGTAATATGATATAGTCTTCCTTGAGATGCTCAGAGAACTGAACTGAAGTTGTAAGAATAAGGCCTTCCACGATTTTTCGGAACTGTTGATACTTTTACCTGTCTTGACTTTTGATTCATGTTCTTAATCGATCAATGTTTCTGGATAACCGTTCTCACACAGCAACTGTTTAATAATATTATTAAGCTCTTCATTAAGATATTCATCAAAGCAGATTGCTGTTGCTCTGTGGCGGACGAAGCACTTTATTAGCTTGCGTTTGTATTTCTATGGCACAAAGCTAAAAAATGAGTATACTGACCAGCTGATGTAGATTTTCTCTATACATTTCTTCTTATTGTACCGTCCTCTTTTCTAGTCATAAAGACGTCTAGAAATGAAATACTAGAGTCTTTTTCTTTCTCAATTTTTTTTCCTTCCTTCACGTTCCCAGTGGAACATAGGGCTTCAAGCTAGTGGCTTGAAGTTTCTGTAGCAGTGTTTATTTTACAGGATGGGGTTGCTAGCCTCATGCCCAACCTTTCCTCTTCACCAGCATTATTTCTGGCTTAGCGAGGTAAAGGAGTGCGTCTGTGGCCGGGGATCGAACCCCGGACCATGTGCATGGTCGGCGAGCGTCCTAACCGCTATGCCACCGACGCACTTCTTTCTCAATGGTAAAATTTATTGCAGGATGAACATCGTTAAGTTTGTCCAGGATGTTCTTTGCTTCATCCTCATTTTTCATAATCAAAAATCTATCATCCATGTACCAACAGTTGAATTCTAGTTCATCAATTACATTTTTCAAAGGTCCATTCTCTAGTTTCGCAAGAGAATTATCGAAACGCATATTCTTCGCTCAATTTTTTTCCTCTACATATATATCACAACCATGAACTAATGATATACAATGCCATCCTATCCTATTCTAATGTTTAATTTACAATCACATTCGATGATAATAAACCACAGTCCCTATTGATTTTGTTTTAATTTCATGAAAGAAAGATAAGAAAGACAATGACCTTGGCAAAAATTTTAAAAAAAAGTCATGCCTATAAAGTACAATTTAATTTAATCTAATAAGTACAAAATATTGATAATTAATCCTTTATTATTATTATTACTATTGTTTTTTTTCACTATTCTAGAAAAGAAAAGAGGAATGCCAATTAGAGAGAATAAAAAAGAATCTGTGATCACAACTAGAAAATGTAAATGTTCAAATTAGATAATGTGATAATATGATAATAAGAATAAGAACATTAAAACAACAATAAAAGGGTTATTTATATACGGTATACACAGAGCATAGTATTTAGAAGAGAAAAAAAACGTGCATTAACTTCGATGAACTGGATTAAAGAAGGTTGGAGAGGAGATATTGAGAAACATAAAACACATAGAAAAAAGAAACAGTATATATATATGTATACATATTTAATTTGTCAAAAATAGAGAATAACAAAACGAGATGATAGCAGTTTAACATTGAAAGAGTAAAATGTAAAATAACTTTTTGATAAACTAATTAGCATAACAATAGAAATTGGCATGAAGAGCGAAACGGTAACTGGAGTCGAATCAGGGGGGGGGAGCTGTATAATTCACTGAATCCACGAATTATCTTTATGAAGATCTAACTGTTAAGTGGATCAGCTATGGTTCATTGTGTTAGACATTCAAACTAAACATCAACTACGCCACAGTTTGAGCAGTGATTACTATTATTATTATTGTTCCCTTGGGTTCCGAGTGGAACATAGAGCTTCAACAACACATTTCCACTTTTTCTATTTTCTGATGTCCTCTTTAGCTAGGCCCACAATTGACCATAATCTCTCATCTCATCCTGGCACAACCAACTCGTCGTTTCTCAATCAAGTTCAACGCGGGTGATGGCCTGCATTGAGCGCGATGTCATTCGATGGTTTTCTCAGTGCGTGCCTTATCCATCTCCATTTTCTCCTACAGAATTGCTGAGCAATAGGTTCATGGTTGTACTGGTTAGTTGTACTGCCAGAGTTTCTTGTTGTTAATTCTTTCTGGTCAGCTAGCCTCTTTGATCTTCACTATGGAGCTACCGAAGGCAGCTGTCGATAAAAAAACAGGAGAAATGACTAACATAACATTGCTGTTGAAAATCCGAACTTTGTTGTTTATGCTGCTGACTGCAGAAGATTTCCAAACTGATTTACGAGTGATGAAGGTGTACCTTGCCTTTCCGATCCTGTCTGATTTTGACATATTCATCCATTCTGCACGTGGTTGAGACAATCCTTCCTAGATAAGTGAAGTGAAGGAAGTGACCTCTTTCAAATTTCTTCCGTTGACGGTGATTGGTGCCTGTTGTTGTTGGTGGTGGTGGATTGGTTAACTTCATCACCTCCGTCTTCTCTACGTTCACCTGGAGTGAGTGTAGAATTGCTAGAAGTTAGAATTCATGGGTCACTGAGTCGGATCCCAGTGGCTGTATGGTCTACAAGCTTGCCTGGTAACAGGAAGGTCCAGCGTTCGAAAGTCGGTGGGTGAATACTGCCGATGAGTCCCAAAATAAGACGAAATAGCTGCCTAGTACTCCCTGTGGCTAGTTTTCAATGGTTCTCTAACTGACATTAATCCTTGGTCAAACTTGAGATTACTGATCGCTTATGCTTGAATAGGGGAAAATCAATTCTGTCGGTGGTCCAGTGTGGTAGGATGTTCGCCAACCACGCCTCACGTGGTCCGAGTTCGATTCCCGGCCGACGTACTCCTAAACTTTGCTTAGCCGGTAGTACGACCAGAAAAGGAGGAAGGTTGGGTGTGAGGCTAGCAGCCCTACCTTGGAGGAAGTACACCACCGCCAATGAAACTTCAAAGTTGAAAATAAAAGCCACTCTCCCCACCCCCTCCATGTTCTAGTTGGAACGCAAATGAGTGGGATAAAACAGAAGTGGAAAAAACAAACAAATGATACATAGAACGACTATAATACTGACACTAAAGCAAAATACCTTCTTTATTGAATAATGATTGTTGTTCTGAATTGAATTCCCCTGATACATATTCTGTACATCGTCGTCGAGGTTGATGTGGATTCGATGAGGCATTCATACCAATAGAAGCAGAATAACCGGAATCAGATTTTTGACGATTGAATAATTTTTTAGGCAACAGAGTAGATGATGGCGATGATGATTCAGTGATACAAGAATTCTTTGATAATGGTGATGACAATGATATAGCTGGTCGGCGTATACCAACTTCTATTGTATACTGTTGGGCATCTTTGAAAGCATTAAGAACATACTGTAATGCTCTAGGTTGACAATAAAAGACAGAAAGAGACAGAATATGACAGGGAATGAGACAAATAATTTCAGAAGACGATTTAAGCAAGCAAATACACATTTCGGTAAATTCTCATCAGGTTTAGAAGGCAAAGTTAAACTTTAAGCACCACTAACTACCACCAATCAGCGAATGACCTTGAGAGCACCAATCATATGAAGGAGGCATTTTTGGTTATGGAATACACATATTTATGGAAAAAATGCATAAAAACTGTAAAAAACTGTTATAGAGGATAACTTTCCCTTACATGTGATAAAAACATCTCCCAGTTTAGCACAGGAGTATCAATTGAAAAGTTACACCACATCCCAAACATATATTCATCTAAATGACTATAAATTACATCCTTTCGAGATCCATTAATGGCCCTAATCCTGTTTTTTAACCTTTCCCAAAGGCCTTCTATAGAAGTGGTGTGTGTCCCTGTAGTGGGACCCACAAAATCATTAGAATGGTTGACTCTGTGGTGGATATATCCAAGGAATGACAGGGAGTTATAACCTTTCCACTCACCGAGTGATAATAGTTATTAAGGTAGTTAATTTTCTGTCTGCTATCCTCTCGACGAATCCTTTCGGTAGAGAGGTGGCATATAAGCCAAACACCCAAACATTATTTGCTCGTTCATAACGACGGTTGTATTTTTTCTTTAATAAGACAGTTTCATCCACATGTACGCTGAGACCTTCTCCTCCCAATAACGAAGTAAGTCTCTCCATTTTCTATGACGCATAATCCCTGCAGTGCTGGTACCACTGAACTCATTGGACCATTCAAGGTCATCCGCTGGTTGGTAGTTAGTGGTGCTTAAAGTTTAACTTGGCCGGTTTTAGAATGAATTACATCATAAAAATATCAGTTATAGGTATTTGAAACAATTTGGATCAATAGAATCAAGTATAATTAAGGAGAAGGCCAGTAGAATAATAATAATAATAGTGATAAATTGTGAAACTAAGATTAAAATATGCACCTATAGCACAGTATGACATAGATAATGCAGTCTGGAATACGAATAACAATAAAAATACTATTAGCAGTTATCCGGTGTTACTGAGATATAACTATTCTAGGACGGGTTGGCAGAAGAAGCATCCAGAGAAGATAGACCTTCAGGTGAACATAGAGAAAACAGAGGTGATGAAAATTCCTGGCCAACAGCAACAGCGACAACAACAACAGATAACAGTCAGCATAAACGGGAGGAATCTGAAAGAAGCTACTTCCTTTACCTACAAACCCACCTGGGAAGCACCATTTCAACTACAGGCAGACGGGACAGATGAGAATATCAAAGCGAGGATAGGGAAAACAAGACAAGCTTTCATTTCTCTCAAGTCTGTGTGGTGGTCAACAGCACTCAGCATGAATAACAAGATCCGGATTTTCAAGTTCAATGTGAGGTCAGTTTTAGTATATGAATCAGAGACTTGGCACCGCGTCAAGAAGGCGAGTTCGAAAAGACTACAGACCTTCATCAACAGCCGTCTCCGCTCAATACTCAAGATCAGATAGCCGGCCAGAAAAGACCAGCAACGGGAAGGGATCTCTGGGAGCGAACCAGGAACCAACTGTGTAACGAATATGTAGGAAGAAATGGAAGTAGGTTGGCCATACTCTGAGAAAACAAACCATCAAGTGACATCACACGACGGGCTCTGCAGTGGAACCTGAACGGGAAGTAGCGAGTTGGTCGTCAGTCCGAGGGTGGGATGACATGGAGGAGGTCATGTGAAGAGGAGATGAAAGCATATAGGCAGACGTGGAGCCAGGTAAAGACATTAGCAGAGAACCGAACGCAATGGAGACGTGCGGCTGAAGCCCTATGTTGCTCTAGGAACTAAAGGAAACAATAATGATAATAATAATAGGACGGGAATGAAGGACATAGGAGGAAGAGAGATTGTGAACAAACTTTTTCTGAACACAAAGATTTAGCTGAAAAATTTTTTATGGCGACTGCTTCAGTTATGCTTAGCATTCAAAGGTTTACAAACTTAAGGAATTAAGGTGGTACCTCGTACAGAAAATTGTAAAGACTGCATTTTTATCAATCTTGTGATTTGTATCCACCACACTGGATAAGCCAGTATGGAAAACTCATAATTAACTTTACCCTTAGCTAAAGTGTCTCAAAATAAGGATAACGGCTAAAATAGTAAAACCATTCAGAATAGATATCGCACATAAACCAACACAATCACTTTATTCAATACCTATGCAGAGCAAAAGGCCAAAACAAACATCAACAAAATAAAGTGCATCAATTATGACAGAGTGACTGTCGACCTCTTACACTCCGAATCCGAGATCATAAACCAACTGTCCAAAGACATGGCAATTATTTTTTCATACCAATGTATATAGACAACTGTAGTTACCAGTTTGACTGAGAATATGTAGAAATTTTAAACAATGCAAAACACCTGGAGCTTACGGCGAGTTGTCATCTGAACTGGTGACAACTACAGGTGTCCATAAGGGATGCTCACCACTATCCCCATTTCTATTCAATTTCATCGTAGATTTACTAATGGAATTAACCCTAACTGCTGACTTCAGTGACTCAGGGACTGACTTGTTACCATCAGGGAATAATCTCGTTCACTTAGAATATGCAGATGATATAGTGCTCCCTATTAGGTGAAGACACTGACAAAATACAGCAGAGTCTTCTGAACACCATGAGCTGCAATCTGCGAATGTTTGGCATGCGATTCGCTCCCACCAAATGTAAGATGATGCTACAGGACTCACTCGACTACATTGACTCCTAACTTACAAATAGGGAGTGAAGTGGTTGGTGGAGCGTGTTGATCAATTCACTTATTTGAGAAGCTGCATCAGCCAACGCCAGCGGGTTGATCACTGACGAAATCTCAGCACGGATACAGAAGGCTCGTTTCGCATATGCCAGTTTACGCCGTCTCTGGCGTAGACGTGATATCTGGCTGGCTATCGACCAAAGGGCGTGTGTACTGCTCAGCAGTCCGCTCCGTCCTCCTTTATGGCTGTGAGTCCTGGCCATTGAAAGTGGAAGACATGAAAAGCCTCGTTAGCTGTCTTTGATCATAGGTATCTGCGTTCTATCTCCCGTGTGAAGTGGTATAATAGAGTGAGTGAGTAATATTGAGGTTAGGCTTCGGTCAAGTGCTAGGTAAGGAGGGGAAATCAATCGACGAGGCTGTGAAGCTACATCGACTGAGATGGTTAGAACATGTGTTACGCATGCCTAGCCATCGTCCTTCCTCGACGGACAATGTTAGCTGACATAGGGTTGACAGGTTGGAAAAGAGCTAGTGGTGGTCAAACCAAAACATGGCTTCACCAGTCGATGAAATCCACAACAGTTAGTTTAAGCCAGACGTCACGTAGGAAGGTGTAGACTTCCTGGTTGGGTTCTTCGGGATGGTAAAAACCAATGAAGGATGGAGACAATAGGTGATATGGCTCAAAGTGGTCGTTGTCAATGGCTGGCGCAGATGCATCCACTCCTTGTGACTTATAATATCCAATGAAACTATATTGTTCTTCGATATTACTATTCTTTTTGCCTCATATCTCTGTTTACTGTCTCTATTTTGCATTTCTTTTTACTTTCTTCTTTTGCTTTGTGTACTAAGTTAAGTGTGGCGACTCGAACTGCTGCACATCGGTGCAAAGTTCTATGTTGAAACCAGTCAGTCAGTCAGTTAGAGAAATCTGCGATCAACAGACATAATATTAACTATAGATTAAACTTATCAACTAATGAAGAATAAAGTCACATGATAAAAAACAAGTCGAATTCCAAGTCAATAAAACGATCAATACTTATGCAAATTAACAACCAACCACGACGAAGATTGTCAGCAGCAGATACGATTATACTATATTCATGGAAGAGAATTCAAATAGGCTCATTTCATATTAAATTTTGCACTGAAGATGTTGTTCATAGAGCTTAGAGAAAGCAACCCCAGCAAAATCATCCCCACCTGAGTTACAAATCTTCTCTATCACTTCAAAAAATGTATGTCCTATGACCGTTGATTCTTAACAGTCGATACAGTTGTTAGATTTTGTTACGAGCCAAAATCAGTTAGAGAGATCACTGAAAATTAAGGAGCACACTGGAAAGATGTTTCGTCCTATTCTGGGACTCTTCAGCAATGAATGCCTACAACCTCACTAGGGATAGAAGCTGGTACCTTCAGGTTACGAGGAATAGCTCGTTCACCAGTCAGCCACTTCGGTTGGGATTCAACGACCTGTGAATTCGTGATAAAGAGCAACCTTCAACCAAATGCCTTCAATGAGTATCCAATTCACCCTGACATGGTGGAACCCCCGATGGTCACGACTTTTCTTGTACATCTTCAGGACATCCATTAGGGAGCCATCAATCAGCTCACGATTGATGCTTAGATTACGGGATTTGTGGCGTCGGCGGGGAGGAGGTTTGGATTCATTTCAATGCTCCCTAGTGCTTTCAAATGATCCCTCTAAGTGACATCGGTTCTGGACATCTAACAAGTGAAATTAGTCGCAATCTCCACAACCAATCCAAGAGAGAAAAATATCAACCAACAGCCGCATTTATCATCCAGTCAGTCAGTACTTCCATCAGACGTTAAGAAGTATGTCAACAGCTTAATACCAAATGCAAGCTGAGACGTTAAGAAAAAAACTATCAGGATATTGTATAATACTTTTCAAAAAATATATATATGTTAATTACATAAAACAAAGCATATTTCAGCGTATAGTTTAAAGGAACTTACTCAGTTTCAGACATATTTGACAATTTATTACGATTAACCGTGACAATAATATCACCAGATCTCAACGGTATATCATCAGTCCGTGAAAAGTGTTCACTGTGCGCTGATTTGTCAATAAGGAGGCGAAATCCTCGAAATCTTTAAGACGATAGATAGACAGATAGATAGATAATACACGGGAGAAATATATGTATATAAACATCAGCTAGATTAAATGTGAACGAATTTTTGACAAATACAAATTGAAAAATGTTTCATGTGATGAATACAGAACTAAAATTTAACCAGAAATGCGTTTAGTTAGTTAAATGTTACCTTTGAAATAAAACATGTGGGCTTTGTAAAAAACTGACACCATAAGGAAGAAAAACTTCAATCTGGTCAATTTTTATTGGTGTATTCAACTTTGACAAGAACCAATCAGATGGGAATAAATATAGCGCATGTTGTGCACAATGGGGAGTCTAGGCCGAAAATAAATAATAAATAGGGGAGGTGGGCGGGGGGCATCATTATTGTTTAAGTCAGTTGATTTTCATTTACCGTTAAAGGATTATGTTGAATCGACATGTTCAGTCTCCCTGTTAATATGTCGGCTTTTAACACGGACGCTTCGACGATACCCGAAGATGTTAACATGATGTCATTTTAGTTGGTGGTGACCAGCAGTGGAATCTAGGATACATCTGCATTGTCAGTGAATGAATGTGACCAAATGGATAACACAGCTAGGCGTTTGCAAGGTTTGACTCTCAATGAGGATGCAGATACACCGAGTTAGTCACTGTCAATCAATGTAGAAAGGAGGATACATCTTTTGAAAAATTGCATAAGTGCTGTTCCCTTGGTAAGTTTTTGCCCTATTTTGTTAAGTATGCTGATGATTTGACTGTTTCCCTGCCGGTTACTTCGCAATCAGATTGTTCCAAAATGAATAACTTTTTATCAGAAATTATTAAGTGATTCCTGAGCTCAAATGGTCTTAAGCTTAATCCCTTTAAATGTCAGGTGGTTAATTTCACTTTCAGACGAAAGCGCAACTCACATGAACTGGTTAGTTCGCATGGGTTCACTATCATAGATGACACAGAATTTGAAACTAAATCGAATGTTAAATACCTTGGACTGTGTATTTCCTCTGATCACCACCTATCCTGGTCTTCACACATCATGTTAATTTCTAGAAAGATATTTTGACTAACATCCTACGTATTGGAAGTTAAGGCACCTTGTTAATTCATGCATTCTACCTATTCTTCTTTATTGCTCACCTCGCTTAATCTCTCCTGGGCTACTTAAGAAAGACTTTGTTACACTGAGAAGGGCACTGAAAGCGATCAGTAGAACGAGTGGGGGAATATTAACCTTGTCGGACCTTGAGCATCCTATCTCCATACAACTCTCTCCTTGCATCTATCTCATCGGGTAGAACAAAAAACAAGTACAGAAGCCCGCATGCTAGGACGAATAAGAATGGAAACTCTATGATACCTTATTTGGCAGGCACAAACTTTATGTGGTGAGAAAAGTGTGTACGGCATGACACTACTAACTAACTCAGAAACACTAAGAAAAAGGCGCCCTTTTCATTCTCTCTTCCATTATGATATTATTATTATTATTGTTAATATTTTCCCTTTAATTTGATTTCAGACTCAGATTCTTACTTAAGAATATTATCAATGTAAGCGCCTCGTTTAATTATCACCCCTTGCAGTATGTTATCAGAAAATTAGGTGCAATATTGTATTACATGTTGAAACTTTCATATTTGTATCAAAGGTACTGTTTTGGAATAAAGCTATTATTATTATTACTATTTTTTACGAGCTGATCACGGATTGATATCAGTTAGAGAACCATTGAAAACCATGGAGCGCTGTTTCATCCTAGTTTGGAACTCTTCATCAGTACACACCCACTGGGGTTCGAACCCAGGACCTTCCGATTACAAATGACTGAGAAGTCGTGACCATTGAGGTCCATCCAATCACGTGTGAGGATGGATGTCCCACCGACGACATTGGTTAGTGGTCGCGCTAAATCACGAATTGGTAGAAGTTAGAATTCATGAGCCATTGAATCGGGTCCCAGTGGCTGTATGGTATATTGCCTTGTAACCGGAAGGTCCTGGGTTCGAACCCCAGTGGGTGTGTACTGATGAAGAGTTCCAAACTGGGATGAAACAGCTGTCCAGTACTCCAGTACTGGTTTTCAATGGTTCTCTAACTGATATCAATCCGTGATCAACTCGTAAAAACAAAACTAATCCTTACAAATCAACTATAGAAAATTATTACTATTGTTGAAGTAAAACAGACTAAATTTGCAGCATATTGTTACAAAGCTGTACACTTCTTGAATTTTCCCACCTAGTAAGTTACGCAGATTAACGAGGATGTTTACTCTGTCTATGTTTTGAATTTTGCACACCCTAGTGCTTGCATTTCCTCCTCACATAAGACCTCCCCCATGTTACCCTCAGACAGTCAACTCATCCGTTTCCAGTCGAGTGCCTGCCTGGCGTGTGACGACAACGGTATTCATAGAGTATATCCCATCTCCATCTCCATCTTTTCCAGCATATCTATTGGGCAATAGATTCCTAGTTGGTTCGACCTCCGCCATATAAACTTGTTGTTTATCATTTTCTAACCGGTTATCTGACCTTCAGAAATGCAGCAGAAGTATCTGTTAGTGGAAGTCTGCAACAGACTGTGGAAAATGCTTTCGGTGACACACGCACCAAGTCTCTGATCCATATATAGAAGCACTGACTGACTTGACATTAGTGGGTTGAAAATCAATTATATATATTTATATGCACACGGTTAGGCGTTCGATTCCCGGCCGGCGCACACCTTGACCTTCCTTAGCCGGTTATAAACCCAACAAAGAGGGAAGGTTGGGCGTGAGGCTAGTAACCCCATCCGCCACAAATAAAACCACTGCTATTCAAACTTCAAAGGTTAGGGTTGAAGCCCTATTTCCCACTCGGAAGGTACAGAAATAGAACAAAAAAGCGGTCCCTACTCGAACTGTTCAAAGCAAATGTGACTGTATAGGATAAAGATTGAAATCTATTACACTGAACAGTCTTCTACAGTACCGTCTTTTAACTAAGAAATTTGCCCATGGGGAATATAAGATGATGCTAAAAGACTGGACCAGCTAAATTCTGGCTTGAAGGGTTAATATTATTGTTCCCCTGGGTTGCGAGTAAAACATAAGGCTTCAACAACACATCTCCACTTTGTTCCGTCTTCTGCTGTCCTATTCAATTGGGTCTACGACTGCCCATAGTCTCTAATCCCCTCCTCACACGATCTCATCCATGTCACCCTCGGACTCCCTCCCAGCCCATCGTTTCCTATTCGGCTCCCATTTGAGCGATGGCCTGACTGGCGGTATATCACACGATGGTTTCCTCAGCGTGTTCCATCCATTTCTATTTGCTTCATGATATTTCTTAACCGATCGGTTCTTGACAGGTTGGTCCTCAGACTTCCCTGTTGTTAATTCTTTCTCACCGTCTATTTAATCTTCAGTATGAAGAGAGGGTAGCCGTTGATAAAAGTCTGCAGTGGCCTGTTGAAAATGCTTTTCGTGATGAGAGCGGAATGCAAGTTTCTAAACTATATAGAAGAACTAATGACTGATTTAACATTGGTACTGAAAATCTAGATCTTGTTATTTAAGCTGACGAGTCCGGAAGATTTCCAAACCAACGTATTTCTAAAACGTCTCGCTTAGCCTGTAGTAAGACCGGTTAAGAGGGAAGGTTGGCTGGCTGGCTGGACTCAACATAGAACTTGACACCAAAGTGCAGCAGTTCCAGTTGCCACGTTCCAAATACCACACAAAGGTAGACAAGAAAATGAGTGAAGGGAATCAGTAGAGTTTTGACAAGTATAAGAGTGAAACAGAATGAATAATGGTAGAAAGGAATATGAAAGATTACACAAGAGACTGAATACATCTGCGTAAGCCATTGACAACGATTTTGAGCCATGTCACCTATTGTCTCCAGCCATTGATTCTTAGAGTCCCGAGGGCTGGCCCTAACCCAGAAGTCTGCATCTCCCTCCCTACCTGACTCAGTTTAACTGTCAAGGATTTCAAGGATGGATGAGGCCATGTTTTTGTTTGGCCACCACTTACTCTTTTCCAACCTGCACCTATATCAGCTAGTAATGCCCGTCGGGGGGGGGGAGAGGGTGATGGTTAGGCATACGCAGCACGTGACCTAGCCATCTCAACATTACTTACCTTATTATACAACCTATCGTGAGAAAGAGATCGTAGACATCTATGATCAAAAACAGTCAACCTTTTCATGTCTTCAACTCGTATTGGCCATGTTTCAGAGCCATAGAGAAGGACGGAGCGAACTGCTGAGCAGTTCACACGTCCCTTGGTTGATAGCCGGATGTCACACCTACGCCAGAGATGGTGTAAGTTAGCGAAAGCAGCCCGAGCTTTTTGGATCCGTGCTGAGATTTCGTCACCAATCAATTCGTTGGTGCTAATACAACTTCCCAAATAGGTGAAGTGGTTGGGCGTGAGGTTAGCAACCTCATCCCGTAAAGAAAAAAATAAAACCACTGCTACTGAAACTTCAAAGGTCAAGTTTGAAGAGGCCTATGTTCCACTAGGAACGCAAAGGAATAAAATAAATAATATAATAATAAATATATATTATTTAATGTACACTGCACTGAATAAAGAAGTGAAGAAAAGTACTAGGAAAGACAAGAGACAATTCTACGACACACGGGCTGGCAATTGAAGCAGAACAGGCCGCAGGCAAAAGACACCTAAGGACATTATATCAGATAACCAGGTCTCTATCCGGGAAGAGATCAACCCAGATGATGATGAAACCAATAAAAGGTGCTCAAGGGAACCTGATTACCAAGGTGGAGAAACAAAGCAAACAATGGGCTGAGCACTTTAAAGGACTATTGAATCGACCATCACCTGTAACTCGCCCAGAAATACACCACCATCAACAACATGCACGAAATCCTAAATACGATCAAGCTAATGAAGCCCGGAAAGGCAGTAAAACCAGAAGGGATTCCCTTTGGAGCACTGATAACGTACTCAGAGACTGTGATAGATGTTCTCACGCCATTATTACAAAAGGTTTGGAAAGATTGGAAGAAAGAATACCCCGTCTAGCTGCCAAAGAAGGGTGACTCAGGCCTGTGCAAGAATTGGTGTGGAATCATGCTCTTGTCCACACCATGTAAAACACTAAGTCACATCATCCTGGAGAGAATAAAGGATGCACTGGATGCAGAATTGTGCTCAACAGCCAAGAACAAGCTGGATTCAGGAAAGGCAAATAGTGTGTTGATCAAATTGCAACTCTAAGCATCGTCATCACAGAACAAAGCATTGAATGGCAGTCAAAACTCTACCTCAACTCTATCGACTTCGAAAAGGCCTTCGACAGAGTTGATCGAGAAGTAATTTGGAAACTACCTCAACACTACAGTGTACCTCAAGTCTTTGTCAACCTCATTCAACAGCTATATGACAATGCCACGTGTCAGGTGATCCACAACGGGAAGCTCAGCGAAGCATTCGAAGTACGTACAGGAGTAAGACAAGCTGGTTGCCTATTATCACCCACGATGATGGACTGGTTTATGCGTCAGACTGTGGGGAGCGAGGAGACAGGAATATGCTGGACAACCGATAAGACTCTAGAAGACCTGAATTTCGCAAATGATATATGTCTAATGTCACGCGAACTCGAAGACTTACAGGCGTAAACCAACAAACTGGCGCAGAAACAGGCAGCAAAGACAGAACTCCAGGTGAACATAGAGAAGAAGGAGGTGATGAGGATAACCAACGAACAGCAGCAACAGAAACAACGGCCAGCACCAATCACCATCAACGGGGGAGATTTAACGGAGGCTACAGGAATTCGGAACGGATGAAGATGTCAAAGCCGAACAGCCAGAATCGGAAAGGCAAGATACGCCTTCATCAACCTGAAACCAGTTTGTAAATCGTTTGCACTAACTCAGCATAAGGAACAAGATTTGCATTTGCAACACAAATGTCAAGTCGGTCCTTCTACACGGGTATAGAAACTTGCACTGTGTGTCACGAAAAGGATTTCCAACAGGTTGCAGACTTTTATCAACAGCTGCCCCTTTCGCTATCTGGCTCCATACTGAGGAACAAATAGCTAGCTAACCAGAAAGAATTAACAACAAGAAACTCTGGCTGGCGAGGAACAAACCAACCAAAAGCCGACTGTTCAACAAATATGTAGGAGAAAATGGAGATGGAGGAGGTCGTCGAATGACACTGAGCGCAATGCAGGCCATCACTCAAGTGGAATCCCAATGGGAAGCGACGAGTGGGTCGTCCGTGAGAGAGTGACATGGAGGAGATCATGTGGCGAGGAGGAAGAGATGGGAGAGTTCAGGCAATCGTAGACCCAGCTGAAGAGGATGGCAGAAAATAAAACAAAATGCCAGATGTGTTGTTGCAGCCGTATGCTCCACTCGGAACCCAAAATAACAATAACAATAATATAATGTAATGCATTTAATTGAACAAGACAATGCACCAAATCAAATGAATTAAAGCTTACTTAGATCTATTCGACGGAAATGGTTTCAATGTGAAACCTAAATCATCAAATACTGGTAAATTAGATAAACAAAATATATGTCGTTGATACAGGACAGAATCATTATAACTATTTATTGTCTCATCATTTCGTGCATTCACCGATAATGATAAAGAAGGGGATGAGGATTGAGATGAAAAATGATCAATTAAATGAGAATTGTTACTCTTTTTACTACTACTAGTATTATTAATATTACTATTGATAACATTATCTTTATTATTTGTATAACTTTTATGTGATACATCTGAATCAGAGGAATGTTGATTAACTGGATTCGGATAAGAGAAGATAGTTACAGCGCCGCCAAGTGAACGTCTCAGTACACTATGACGATTAAATGAACTACGATTCACATGTCGATGATGTTGATGACGATGTTGTCTTTGTTCCGGTTGACTGTTTTGACGTTCATAATTTGAAGTAGGAATAATAATAGTGGAAGTGTTGTTATATTCCCCTCCTCTGTTATCATTCACATGATCATAATTGATATTGGTGGTTGGTGAATAACTACTATTATGATTTGAAGAAATACAATGTGTTGGAGAAATTAAGGCATAATAATTATTGACATCAGCTAGTTTTGCACTAGTTTTATTCGTATTCTGTGTAGAAGATTTAGGTGAAAAACCAGCTGACGACGTCAATGTGTTCACATTGTCTGTATCGTTAGGAAATGGTAAAAGAGCAGAATGTTGTGCCTGAAAAAAAAAGAGAAAAAGAAAAAACCAAAGGGAAAATAGGAAAATCACTGAGGAAATATATCGTGTCTATAAAGCATACACAATAGTATTGTAGTCATGCAAACAATGACACCACCAATAATCAAGAATTTACATCACATCTCAATGCTTAAAGAAATAGAGTCATTCACAGGAGAATATTATGATGTTTACTCAAAAAAAAAACATCTATCAAAGCTTACAATACAATAACCACTATTAAAATTGAAGACAGGGAGTCAGTTTAGCCTGTATCTTCTTACACAAACCGCTTTTATTTTCATTTTATTTTGTCTCTTTGCATCCCGAGTGACTTCAAGCTTCAGTTTCAGTAATAGTGGTGTTTTTCTTTTAACGAAGTGAGGTTGCTAGCTTGCCTCATGACCAGCCTTCCCTCCTTACAGGGCTTACTGAAGACTAAGGGAGGTTAAAGGGTGCTTCGGTCGGCGATCGAACCCCGAACCACGTGAATCGCAGTTGGCGAGTAATCTACTACCGAAGCCGTCAGGGCAGCTGTTTGGTACTTGTTTGGGACTCTTCATCTGCGCGCACACACATGACCCTACACTGCCAGGGATACAACCAAGGACCTTCAGATTACAAGGAGACATACACAAACTAACCATAAAAGAATTCATACATTCTGAGATTTGTTATTATAATATAAGTTTGTAATAATCACAAATATGACTAGTGTACAAATCAAAGTTAATGAAATAATACCATTTGAGATGAAGATAAGAAGTATGTAGTAATCAGTTTATGTTGCACTGTGTGACTGGCATCAGAGTTATAGTAGCGCATTTTAGAAACTCCACAAAACTGTGAATACAGACGTCAAATCAAACAAAGTGACAACAAATGTCAAGTGTTTACAGCGTGTATTCGGTTATCTGTAGAGCAATAATTGCTGAGAATCAAATACACACAAAATTAGGGAATTTGTCATACAAACCAGCCTTTGCATTTCCCTTTGATTAATAATAATAATGTCTTTATTCTAGACAATATATCAACACAGTACATATTTAAATTGCAAAATATCTGCTTTGCATACAGGATATTCAAGTAAAATGGTATTCGTCAGTACATCGTGTGATGCTGTATTGTTCCATTTAAAGTAATATTATACAAATCTCTATGATACTTTCTCCTTATTTCTACTGAATATTGTTCTGCATTAAAGCAAACTAAAACTGTGTACGAGTTCATGCAGCGATCCCCGAAAAAACACAGTTAGATGATTATAACAGTAAGAAGAAAGTGGAGAAGAGTTTATGCATCATTATACCGGATGGAAATTTAGGCAACCCAACGATTTAAGGAGCATTCAAGTGTCCAGCCTTTCTGTTGACATGTTAACTTCTAGTACGAACGCTTTAACAATGTCTGAGGAATGAAATGATGTTATTGCAGCGAATTCCACTGCTACTCACTATCCAACAAAATAACATTTAAGTATTGGTTTATAGGGATTTGGTTGATTGGTTACAGGATTTCATCATGAGCTGACATTGGTTAGAGAACCATTGGAAAACCTGGGAGTACTGGACAGCTGTTTTGTCCTAGTCTGGGACTCTTCGGTAGTACGCACCCACCCCATTAAGGTTCGAACCCAGGACCTTCTGGTTACAAGGGGAGCTAGCTCGTAGACCATTCAGTCACTGGGACCCGATCCAATGGCCAGCCCATGAATTCTAACTTCTGCCAATTCACGATACAGCGCAACTGCCAGCCAATGTCTTCGGCGAGTATTTGTCCTGACACCCGACCTGCTGCACCCTACTGGTCACGACTTCCCACTGGAACCCCAGATAACTACCTACCTGAATGGTTCTCTAACCAATGTCAGCTCATGATGAAATCCTGTAACCAATCAACCAAATCCCTAAAAACCAATACCTGAATATCAATGAGATTCTCACTGGCGACTGGCCCTATTCAGATAGGTGGTTACCTGGGTTTCCAGTGGGAAGTCGTGACCAGTAGGGTGCAGCAGGTCGGGTGTCAGGACAAATACTCACCGAAGACATTGGCTAGCAGTTGCGCTATATCGTGAATTGGCAGAAGTTAGAATTCATGGGCTGGCCGCTGGATCGGGTCCCAGTGACTTAATGGTCTACAAACTCGTGTTGTAACCAGAAGGTCCTGAGTTCAAACCCTAGCTGTGGGTGCGTACTGTGAAGATTCCCAAACTAGGACGAAACAGCTGTGCAGTACTCCCTGCTGGCTTTCCAATGGTTCTCTAACCAATGTCAGCTCATGATGAAATCCTGTAACCAAAATAACATTTTGGTATGATATTTCTGGAAACTCAAATTCACGCCGCTAATTTGCACTTTTATAACTTGCTTTATTTATTACGTGAAAATGTGTAAAGTTGACTTATACAAATATATATTCACCGGATAGTAATCAAGTTAAAGTACTCTGGTGGATGGTGACTACTAGTGGAATCGAGAATGCGCATTTCGTCTTATTTGGGACTCGTCATCTGGATACACCTGCATTTCCTAGTGAGTAATTGTGTTCCCATTGAGGCTCGAACCCAGTGCCCACAGTTTTAGAAGCCGAATAGGTCGAAATGCGCATTTTTGATTCCATCCGCTACCGATCACTATCCACCGACTTATTCCGTTACGTAATCAGACATCGTCGAAGCACAAGGCTGAGGATTTCGGTTCAATCAATCACAAAGAAAGTTCAGATTGAATTACGTAATCAATCATTTTTAATTCCTTTACGTTCCCAGTGGAACATAGGGTTTCAAGCTAGAGGTTTGAAGTTTCAGTAGCAGTGGTGTTTATTTTTACGGCAGAGGGTTGCTAGCCTCATGCCCACCTTTCCCTCTTTACCAGTTGTATTACCCGCCCAGGAATCGAACCCCGGACAAAATGCGTGGTTGGCGAGCATTCTACCACTTTGCCACCAGTGCACTACGTAATCAAGTTAGTTGTTTAATCCTACACACTGTAACCGAAATGTACTCATCACATAGGTGATTTAGTCATATAAAAACAACAACACAAAAACATCCCCTTCATTTGTGTACATCTATTGCTTATGAACTGAATTCGCTGTAGCCTTAAGTACGTAGTGGTAATGCGTTTAATTTTGGCACTAAGTGACGCACAGATTCATGTCTACAACCGAATATGAGGGGGCTTTCTTTTAAAATGGCGAGCACTTGATGTAGAAAACTGTCAAAAACAATGAAACCTAACTTAAAAGATTTCTGTTGAACTATCTGAAAACGTTATTAGATGTTACGATAACATCGTCATTGCTGTTTCCTTATTACCTTAATATTTTCATCTTACATAATCGAAACATACAATAATTTTCGTTTATGTGGGTGCCTTCAAAGTAAAACAACAGTATGAACGGTCAAACTGAAAGACACAGATAAGAGCTGATTTAATCCCCCGGGTAATGTATTATCACAACCTATACCTATACATGTATATATTCATTTCTTTGTGTCCTGAGTGGAATACAGAGCTCCAAGCTTCAGCTTCGAAGTTTCAGTAACGGTGATGTATTTTCTACAGGAAGCGGCTACCACAGGGTAGCGTCCAACCTTCCCTCTTTTCTGGTCTTACTAATGGCTAGGCGAAGTTGAAGAGCGAGTTGACCGGTAATTGGACCTAAACTAGCGACGCAAAACTTACACCTGCTTACTCATTATTACCGTAAAATAGCGTCACTACCCATTAAATGATAAGAGGCAATCAGAAAGATGCCTTTGACCCAGGTTTCGTGCTGACACTGGCACTCGTTAACAAGGCATACTTACAACTCAAAAGGAACAGGTGTCACACACCCCCTCAGTTATATGAATCTCTGTCACCCAGTGGTGCTGTCACAAACGCTACACTCCTACACTAAGGACCAGTGTCTGTAAGTATGGTATGTGCTTTGCACCGTCTAAGTGCAAAGTACTGTTACAAGATTGGCAGGAGCCTGTACCTGCACTCACTCTTGCGGGTGAACCGCTTGAAGTTGTTGATAAGTTTGTGTATCTGGGTAGTTGTGTGAGTGCTGGCGGAGGGGTGACGGATGAGATTTCCAACCGTATCATGAAGGCTACGGTGGCATACATCAACTTGAGTCACCTCTGGTGCCGTCGCGACGTTAGCCTGGCTGTCAAAGGTCGGGTATACAATGCTTCGGTGCGGGCTGTCTTGCTCTACGCCTGTGAAACCTGGCCTCTCCGAGCTGAGGATGTGAGGCGACTCTGCGTGTTCGATCATCGTTGTCTCCGCAGGATTGCTTGCGTTCGATGGCATCATCGCGTGAGTAATTCTGAGGTTCGGCGGCGTGTGTTTGAACACAGTGGAGATCACCATTCATTGAGTGTCGTCATCTGGAAACACCGGCTCCGGTGGCTTGAACATGTGCTGCGAATGTCATCCCAGAGGCTTCCGTACAGGTCTCTGTTCGCTAGCCAACCCTGGGACGGGATGGAAAAGGTGGAGGGGTGGTCAGTCCATGAGGTGGCGTCGTGGGATGAAGGATTTTTGTGCTAGATTAGCATCGGTTGGTGCATCACGACTCCCTGGTTTGGGTCCGCGAGATAGCTCGAATCGATGGCTCGAAACGTTATCGGATATGGCCAAGAATCGTAATCAATGGCGAACGTGTTGCAATTTCCTTCTTTCTTCCCTTCCTGATGATAGTTAACGAATACTGTTTGAACTTGTTAAACATGACTGTTTTCCTTCCAGATGAAGTTCTTTATCCGTTTTCTACTTATATTTTTACTTTTAATCTATGTTGTTTTATTATTATTGTGTGGCGCATCTTTCTTGGTGCCATATTGTACCAAGTTTTTTCTTCTGCGTTTAAATAATAAGACATAACATTGGTTATCCTCCCAGTGACTAAACAATGTATTGCCAGAATTACATAATCAATGCAGTTCATCAATAAATGTTTCCAAAAAATTAGAAATAAACATGCATTATGCAATACATATGCCATTCTACACTTTACTCAAACTCATGCATTTGCTTGCTGAACATATATCTAGCTTAAACACAAAGAATACATCAGAAAGGAATATTAAAAATTGGCAGTGATGAGAATTCATGGCAAACTGGATTCCATTCCAATAGCTGGATGGTTAACGGGCTAGCTCCGCCCCCCCCCGCCTCATATGGGGTCATGGGTGAGTACTAGCAAACAGCCTTAGACTAGGATGAAACAGCTATGCACTACCCCCAGCCGATTTCATTGATTTTCTAAGGCGAGGCTTGAGAGACGAACCCGGACCTCTCACGTGGTTAGCGAGCATCCTACTACTGAGCCAATCATACAGAAAAGACAAAAACACTAACAAAGACATAAATATTATTAATAAATAATAATAACGACATTTAGAAGAACCAGAAGTGGAACTAAGATTATTACAGTGTGATTTCTTCATCAATCTGTTTTCTTGTAATTCAAGCCAAGCACATGTGTACTACATAAATGGTGTTGACTAATTCTTGATTGATAAACTAAACAGACAATTGAGAAGGTAATCCCTACAAGCGAACTCTTGGAAATTAACCTGGTACTCACTAATGACTGGCTGCAGGACAGAATTGCCTGGAGTTCTAGTGAGAAGTTGTGACCTGTGGGTACAACCAGGTCAGGCGTGAAGACAAATACTCGCCAGCAATGACACTGGCTGACAGTCACGCCAGAATCACGAATTGGTGGAATTTGCAATGCATCTGCCAGTGAATCGGGACTCAGTAGCTGAATGGTCTATGGCCTCGCCTTGTAACCTCAACGTCCTGGGTTCGAATCCCAATGGGTGCGTACTACTGGGGAATCCCAGTAGCAGGATGAGACAAGTATCCACTATTCTCCGATGGTTTTCGGTGGTTCACTTACTGACATCAATCCGTGATCAAATTCGAAACAAAACAAATCCCTAAAACCTAACTAATGAAACTTTGAAATAGACAGAACTAGGGAACAACCACTGGCATTTCAGTACAGTTGGCAATGAGACATACCCATCCTATCAGGGCTTATAACACTCAGTAAGCTGAGTGTGCATACCTCAGCAATTGGAGAAGGATTCAGACCCGTAACCCGAAAATTGGAAATCTATCCCCTAGAACAATGAGTCACAGTTTCACCATGAAGAAAAGTAAACGCTCATTCTTAAACAGTAATACAACTTGGGTGCAAAATTGAAATGATGTAATATGTCATGAAGTTTTGTATTAGTTAGTATTGAAATCTAGGATGATTGGTTTTGTTTTATTCAGAGATAGTCATCAGCCAAATGGAACTTCGGAATAGAGAATCCAGTTATGACTTAGATATTCCAGTAGAATTAATATCGCGCTGACATCGACATACTCAGAGAGAGAAAAAACTATACTTTTACGAGGTTATTAGCAGACAATAACTTCACTTTCCATGCTTCTCATGAAAATCGTATATTCGGGGGGGGGGAGGGGGGAGGGGGAGGGAGGAACAATAATTTGTATAATGAATATTAATTATATAATAATAGCAACAATAAGCTACATGCAGTAATCTGGTAATCTCGCGAATAAACGTGCAACAGACAAGAATATGCCCAGACGGACTATCTTCCTCGAGTGATATAACAATAATCAGTACTCACTTTATTCAACACATGAGTGAGTAATCCTTTTTTTAAAAAAAGGTGGGGAAATTGAAAGTGTACAAACTAGATAACTACAATACTAAGGATAAATTAGGGAAAGATTGAGGTAAACAAGAGAAATTCAGTATTACAACTAAAATGTGAAAGCAAAGTATGTTTAAATGAATTTGTATAAGTGTGATTAATGAGTCAAGGGTACTTATTATCACCAATGATATTCCTAATTGTGGTGGACTGGATTATGCGTCAGATAGTGGGAAACGAGAAGACAGCGATATCCTGGACCGATGTGAAGAATCTAGAAGACCCTGATTTCGCGGGTGATTTATGTTTGATGTCACAAAAAATCGAAGACTTACAAGCGGAAACCGACAAACTGGTCGAAGAAGCAGCCAGAGAAGACAGGACTCCAGGTGAACATAGACAAGACGAAGGTTATGAAAATAACCAACCAACAACAACAACCGCATTAGCAACATCCACCGCCAATCAACATCAACGGGAGGGATTTGAAAGAAGTTACTTCATTCACTTATCTAGAGAGCATTGTCTCAACTACAGGAGGAACGGACGAGGATGTCAAATCGAGAATCGGGAAGGCGAGAAACACATTCATCAACCTCAAACCAATCTGGAAATCTTCGTCACCCAACTCAGCATCAACAACAAATGATTCGGATTTTCAATACAAACGTCAAGTCAGTCAGTTCTTCTATACGGATCAGATCAGAAACTTGGCGGGTCACAAAGAATACTTCCAACAGCCTGTTGCAGACCTTTATCAACAGCCGTCTTCGTTCTATACTGAAGATCAGATGGCCGGAAAGAATCACCAACAAGAAACTATGGGAACAAACAAAACAAGAACCAATCGCTCAACAAATATGCAGGAGAAAGTGGAGATGGATTGGACACTCGCTGAGGAGGCCGTTGGGTGACATCGCGCGTCAGGCCCTCGAGTGGAACCCGAAAGGTATGTTTGGAAGGATTTTTGGATGCTGGATCCACATTAAGATTTTAGTGCCAACTACAGACGGCCACAAAGTATATCAGAATGTGCATTTTTCTAAGTCAACATTTTCTAACTTACCCCCTCCCCTACAAACATAATGCAAACGACTTACACTATAATGGTAACTATTTTTAGTCTAACCGCCATCCAAACAACCTTTCTGGTATGGTAGGATCTTTGGGAACATTCGTTCCAACCGGTATAGCCCTTTAGCTCAAATGATGTGTAAAGTAGCAGCTATCGGTCGAGGTTTCATAAAGTGAAATTAGTTGTTTGTGAATTCACATTTTGGCATTGTTTCTTATCATATGGTCGAACATTTTACTTTGTATATTAGGCAGACGGTCCATCAATGCAGCTACCGGGAAAATACATCGCACTGATCCAGGTACTTTACTCGAACTCATGCAGTCAACCAGGTGAGAGTTGTCATCTGGCAACTGTGATGACAACCATTGGTGTCCGTCAAGGATGCCCACCACTATCCCTATTTCTCTTTAACTTCATCATAGATGTACTAATGGATTTAACCTTAACTGACTTCAGCGACTCAGGGATTCACTTGCTACCTACAGGGAATTAACTCGTTTACTTAGAATATGAGGATGATACAGTCCTCCCTACTAGATGAAGACACTGACAAAATACAGAAGAGTGTTCTGAACACCTTGAGCAGCAGTTTTAGAACGTTTCGCATGTGATTTCAGCGCTCCTGTCAAATGTGAGATCATGCTACAGGACTCACTCGACTACATCTACTCACACACAGCTTAAAGATGGAGAGTGAAGTGGTAGAACATGTTGACGACTTCAATTATTTGTGAGGTTGCATCAGCCATTGCCAGCGGCTTGAACACTGACGAAATGTCAACACGGATAGAGAAGGCTTGTTTGGCATTTGCCAACTACACTATCTCTGTCGTAGACCACAGTTGATTGGACAACGCGTGTACTACTCAGCGATTCACTCCTGCTTGTGAGTGAGACACAAATGACCATTGAAAGTCGAAGACATGAAAAGCCCGACTACCTGTCTTTGATCATAAATGCCTGTTTATTTCCCGTGTTAGGTGGAATAATAAGGTGAGCAATATTGAGGTCAGGCTTTGATCGAGTGCTAGGTGAGAAGGGAAAATCAATCGATGATGTGGTTGTGAAGTTACGTCGATTAAGATTATTAGAACATGTGTTGCTGCGCAGACCTAGCCATCGATCAACTTTCCCGAGGGTCAACGTTAGCTGACTGACATAGGATTGATCGAGTAGAAAAAGGGAGAGAGCTAGTGGTGGTCAAACCGAAACAAGGTGGCATCAGTCAATGAAATCCATAACAGTTAGTTTAAGCCGAATAGGGAGGTTTAGACTTCTTGACTGGTTGGGGTCCTCGAGACAGCAAAACCCAATGGCTGGAAACATTTGGTGATATGGCATGAAATCGTTCTCAATGACGGCGCAGATGCATTCACTTTTTGTGACATATCATATGAGATAAAAATCTACTGTTCTTCTATATTACTTTTCCTTTTGCCTCACTCACACTTCTCTTTATTATCTCTCTTGACTCTCCTCTTGTTTTGTGTGGTACGTGGAGTGTGGCAACTTGAGCTGCTGCACATCTTTGCAGAGTTCTACGTTAAAACCGGTCAGTCAGTCAATTTATGAAAGATGGCTTTAACAAAAAAGTTAATAGGTGTGATTTTTCATACAAAGAAGTCTTTCCTTAGTCTATTTTCAGTCAATTTACGCCTAACCACTGTTTGAAATACAAAGCATTTCACTTCTAAATAACAATGTACGTATATTTTCAACTTACTTTCGGTAATCTTTTCTTCTCAGTTAATAAATTAGAATTTGACATATCATTTTCATTAGGTAGAGGCTTTATATAAATTGTTCTAGAACCAGCTGGAGATGAATTTTGAACTATAACAAAATGTTTACAAAAGAAGAGTATAAATTTGAATGATACACGTGTTCATACAAAAACACAAAAACTAAGTAAGAGAGTGCGATAGAGTTTATTAGAAACATTGACAAGCGAAGAAAGCAAAACTCGAGATTAACCGAATGATAAAATCAGGCATCAGGTACAAACCACTCTTGCTGAACAAGATATACTAAAGAGATAAAGCACACAAGTAGCTATACACCTATCCGTATGAAGACATATCTTATTGAGGTTTGAGTTGTTTACAGAGGTGCAGACTGCCTGGTTAGGGTACTTGAGACGCCGATTGTTGGAGACTATAGGTGACATGGCCCAAAATCATTCTGAGTTGCGTAGATGTGGTCACTCATCATGAACTCCCAGATCAACTGATTTCCATTCTTCTCCATGCATTTAATCTTCCTCCCATACATATTACAGCATTGTAGGTCCTTTGAATTTTCTTTCTCTACCTTTATGGGTTACATGAAGCGTGACAACTTGAGCTACTGTACTTTTGTCCAAAGTACTACGTTGAAACTCAGTCAGACAATCAATGTCTCATGGAATCAGGCACTGAACTTTTGGGCAATGGGTCCCGGTGTCGAATCCCGCGCCACCTACTTCAGCCTGGGGAACTGGATAGTATCATCACTCTTTACACAATAAATGTGGCCCATAGACTGGTACATCAAAACCATGTTCTGGATAACACACTTGTGCGTAAGTATTCGTCACCTACAATCCGTAATGCTCACCAATTACCCACATTTCACAACAACTCAGCTGTATACTTTAAAGGTAAATGTATTTTCATTACATATTCTCCAAAACACAAAGACCGAAAATAGACAGCACTAACGTACAACTATTAGAACACGAAAATCTTATGGTAACCTTGGCTCGCAATTATAAGACTAACAGATTACTGATACAGTTAAATAACATACTATGGCTGGAAAGAGAACATTATTGACGATACCTAGACCTACAAAACACGAGATTGCTTCGACATATGTTGAAAGTATTAAATTAAGGCTTTATAGTTAATATGATTATGAGCAATAAATTGTGCTCGAAACGTGTTCATCAGTAAATATTACTCTATAACACTATCAGACTTTATCAAAATAAATTTTACCCCCCATTGAATTATCCTCTACCACAGTGCACAAGTTCTATGCCTATATTAAGGCTTTAATGTGTTTTATTTGCTACGACAAAAGCGACAAAGGTGTTTTACTGAGGTTTCGATAGGATACTGATAATCCATAATGTTGCTAACTCATGATTGTATGCTTAAAAACTGAGAAGCATAAAAGTATGGTTTTTGAAATACTGAGTTTCAGATTAAGCATGTAAATGCATCGTTTAGAATATGATCGACCAACCAGTGTAGAACTTTGCACAGATGTGGATCATCTTGGGCAGCAACATTTGATAAATGAAAAAACCTTAACTCATTAAACATGTGTAGAAAAAAATAATTCACCGAAATGTAGCAAAGATGTTTATAATTTTAATGACAAAAGGTAATTTTATCCGCATCATTGCGTAAAATTCCCAACCAAATTATCCACACACTGACACACAACAGAAATGTGAAGTCACTTCTTCTAAACGGGTCACAAACTTGCACTGCATGTCACGAAAAGCACTTCCAACAAGTTAAAGACTTTTATCAACAGCTGCCTTCACTGGCTATATACTGAAGATCAAATAGCTAGCTGACCAGAAAGAATTAGTAACAATAAATTCTTGCTGGGAACAAACCAACCAAGAGCCGATTGTTCAATAAATATGTAGGGGAAAATGAAGATAGATCCAGCATACGTTGAGGAGGCCGTCGAATGACATCGCGCTCAATGCAGGCCATAGCTTGAGTGGGTCCTCGATGCGAGGGTTACATAGAGGAGATTGTGTGGCGAGGAGGACCCAGATGAAGAAGACAGCAGAAAATAGAAGAAAGTGGAGATGTGTTGTTGAAGCCCTATGTCCCACACGGAATCCGAGAGAGTAATCGCAATAAATCACACTAACAATCACTGACTCCATACAATGGCGTCATAATTTAATGCATCCACCCCTAGCTCTATGCTGAAAATCGATGTGTGGCAAATATCTTACAGTTGATGCATACTACTATCAAATCGAATATTTAATACATTTTTTGATAATACATATACTATTTTTTATAACTCAGCCACCGTCCGAAAATTTCAAAGGGTTAAAAATGTGATGACAAGCAAGCTTTTGACAGTGTACAGCTACAAAAACCTCAGGATAATACAATTTTCCTATCATATAAATACCAGTTAATATCAAATTGTTACGTCAACTGCTTTAAGATTTACTCAGACTTTATACTCTTCTATACACAGCAAAAGCCTGACTTACATGGTCCATTTAAGTCTTCACTAGTTACAAGTATACCATTACAATCCAGTCGATTTTTTCTAGTATTCGTGTTTGCATACTCATTATTATTATCATCATCATTTGTATCATAAACATGAAGCATAATATTCCGTACTTGTAATACGATATAGAAATATCATGTGAATTAAATATGATATGAACTATTGCACTGATCACGTGTTTATTCCTAAATAAATAAAAAGAAAAATAAGGAGATTTAATAAAAGATATTGGAAAATAGTGCCTCCTTGAAGAGAGGTGAACATATAGAACCCAAAAAGTTATGTAGGAATTCAATTCAACGTTGTAGAAATAAAGCAACACTGAAATAATAGGTGGTGACAGAAAGTGAAATGAAACTTTGCTGTGCAGTAGATTTCGAGCTAGCAGCCATCAAATTACTAGTCCTGATCTCTGTCTGCTAAGCTACAATTCCTACTGTTAACAAGGTCATCATTTCAGAAAAGACCGATCTTAAAGGATTCTCTTATATGTGACAAACATGAAACTTGCGCTAAGTATATCGGGGTTATTGAGATGGCATTTGTTTCACACATAGCTTATGTCAATATAGACGCCTAAATTAAAGGTGCTTGATGAAAATGACTAGTTGTCGAGACTTCAGATGAAAGCTTCTAACGGGTTATCACAATGTTATATATACATATATATTCGCAGAAATGACAGTATCACGAATACAAAAATACAATTAAACCAGGGACAGATGAACTTAAAAGAACAATAACAGGCGTATGGCTGGTCGCATAAAAAAGATACATAAATATGACATACTACCAGCACGTCTTGTCGTAGCTAGGAAAGACTGAACGAAGCGGTGATCTAAACCGCTTAATACAGGCATTTGAGAATGATATCAGTTTTTCTATAATCAAAACTAAAGAAACACGTTATCGGCTTCATATGTTATATGTGTAAACCTCAGGTATGTGAATATTTTCTGGCAAGAAAACGCATATTCTGAAGTTTTCACACTCATGATGTCTTTAATATACAAATATGATATACATATGAAGCATTATGATATAAAACGACTATGAGGAAAAGTCTACTTCAAAAACAATGAATATTAACTGGGTGACACTAAAATGCTTGAGCTTTTGTAACCACACGGACTTCAGTCAGTGAGAAGGTTTATATTTTGGGGATAATTTTAACACTATGAGTAATAAAAGACATTAAATCGTATAATCTGTAAAATAATTATTCCGACCTTCTCGTTGTAAAGCCCACACTAAGGTCGATTCTCCAATATCCAATAGTGTGTGCTAGACCGATTACTTTGAGCTCTAGGGTGAAGAAAGATAAGTTCTTACAGCTTTTGCCATAATTTAAAAAAATAACTTCCTTTCCTATCAAAGTATTGTACGTACTTTGTTTAAAATAAGTCTTTGTTTAGCTCAGCTGTACAAGTTTATTCGTGGATATGTTGTTCACGCAATAAAAATGTGAATGTGTGCTAGCTTGTACGCCGTCTGCTCTTCTCCAGTGGCTGCTTGAGTACCACCATAATTACAAGTTGTGCCTTTTGCGTAGAAGAATATTTGAAGGGTGTTACGTGTGGATCGCTGGATGATACTATTTAATTTTTGGACAGTGTACCTGAACCTATACCTTCTCAGATGTATAATAAAGTAAATCATTATTCTTAAGAGTTGTAACATATTTTTGGAGCACTATTTATTGTTTCCCGTTTTATTTTGTTATTCCGCATAATTACTGAATGTATTTTTAGGTCCACCGGAGATTTACTGACGTGCTGGACACCATGTTCATACTCACATATTTTGTGACTGCATTTTAAAACCCATATTTTCCACATGACATCCCCTACTCTATCGCAAACCTTGTCAAATAACATCAATGTTTAAGAGATAACGGACTCCGTTATCTAAAAGAAAAGACGTTCAGTGAAGAGTTACTCTCCTCAGCGATATCGTTCTCAAGCTATTTAATCGCAACATGAGGAAAGTTTCCGAAGATATGTCATTATAATTGTTAATTGCTTTTAGATAACAAATTGAGTAACGTAGAAAGTGATAATTGAGTAGAAACTAAAATAAAGTTAAACAAGCTGAATGACGCAATATTCTAACACGGGTGGGGAGAGAAATAGTACATTTAAGAAACTAAACCTATTTATTCGGTGTTAAGATAGACCAGGTCCATTGCAAATTCAATAACTGAACAAACTTCTTTTGTATGTAGAGTTTTGGATATTACATGTAAATTGCCATTGCTTGGCAGTTTAATAAGTATTCTTTTAGCAGATTCCTAAGTATTCCGATCATAACTTTGAAGTTCCTTTGTAGGTAAGCTTGGTGTACATCCTGAGAATGACTCTTTGCTGAATGCCTTTACTTTAATATTACCAAGGTAGGATTTTCAAGCTGCTTAAACGTTCCAAGGACTCCGTAAACCACGTGACTGCAGATACACATTTACCACCAGATGGTTTTGACGACCCACGAGCAGTTTTCTCAATCACCGAGTCCCTGTTTGTGGTTATCTGTATGCATAAGTAGTGGCGGCACCACATATGGAGATAGCAACAGTTGACCTTGTCCCTGAAGATCTACACGATGGACGAAAGTAACAGTTTTACACAGAACATCCTCTTCCGATTGGGATTCACTACAGAAGTTGTCACTTAATGCTCACTAGGTAAAAGAATGCCTTCTCAGCACCTGAGGTATATAAGTGTGCTTGCTGTGACACAGGCTGGATGAGGCTATCTTTGATATGGCTTCAAAGAATACCACATAGTATTCAGAGCATCTTAATCTTAGCATCTTTAAAGACTGGGGGTTTGTACGTTCACAGATAGTAAGAAGTATACCGACGCAAGATCTAATTCCCACAAATTCTATACTATCCTTTCCGCGTAGGCCAAAGGCGAAGCAAAACACCAGAATTGATCGTCCAAATTACGAGTTATATTTCGGGACCAAATCGAAGTGTGAGATGATTGCTTAACTAGCTAGGGATCGTGCACAAACAAACGAACGTAACACGATGGCGTGCCAAATGTCATGGATGCTTGACTGAAGGCCTTCAGCTAAACAAATAGACTCGAACAGCGAGAGTCAGCATCAAATATTTAGTGATGAGTGCTGTGGCTAATAATTCTGGGGAGTTACCTACTGCTACACATCTGAGTCGCTGGACCTCAGGAATTCAACCTACATGGCATATAAGTTAACGGGAGTTTACCCTTACAACTCTATGTGCAGTGCTTCTATGCACAGCTTCTACACAGTAGGCTACATCTTTCTGATCAGTGGTCAACTAGTTCATCGCTGACTGCAACAGTAACAGAATCAAAAGCAACAATTTCACACCTCTTGTTACATCTTGATCGATCAACATCATGGTAATGCAGACGTTCTGTGACACCGGCGGGTACACTTGGAATATGCTTGTGTAGCGTGTGCTACTGACAATATGTTTTAGTAGTACACAGACACAGTCACTAATATGTGCATAATCTGCAACAATAACGAATTGCAGAGAGAATGATTTAGTGGCGAGAAGTAATGAATGAGACTTGTAGGAAAAAAATGGGTAACACAAAGGAAAACAGGTAAGCTCAGTATGGATGGCAGAAGTAGCACGATATAGAAGACATATGCATTGATAGGAATAAATATTTTATTATTAATTAGAGACTCTCTTATATGATAGATGTGTTTTCCCATATCTGCGTTCCATGCTGCAAATAACTACGTTGCCAAAAACCATTATGTTCTGCCTTTGCATTTGTACTATCAAATATTCTCATGGTGGAATACCCGATATACGCATTCGTATGCTTCCTGTGATAGCCCACTCTAAAAACTCTCAACCATACACTAATCGGAAAGGTTGTTTCAGGCATACATTCAAGCCGCTGGTTCCCTGTGGTGGGTGAGACTACAGGCACTTTAATCCTAGTATACACAGGAGCCCAAGTCAGTGTGGCACATCCCTCAATGTCAAGGCGAGCTGCCGGCATAACCGGGAAACTGTCAATCTCAGGTGCTAGTCAAACTAACGTCCATTCATACGGTGAACAACCATTTTCTAAAATATTGGTCTACAGCGACGCTTCACATGGATTCTCATAGCAGCTGATGTCCATCATGCCATACTTGGTGCTGATTTCTTAAGTGACGTCGGTCTGCTAGTTGCTGTTCATAATGAACAACTGACTGGTACCTACACGCAACTCAAAGTGCATGGAGTCACAGACTGCATTCATAGTGTGTTTGTCGAATAGACAGAGGACTGCGTACTTTCTACCGGCACATCCAAAGTTTGTGCTACGTTTCAGATTAACCCTATGTACAAATCTCGCACAGGTTTTTATATTTTGTCACATACCAGTAACCATAAAATCTTATATAAAGTGGTTACGCCAATCAACGAAGAAAGATATGAATTCTGTCATCAGTTTAATCAGAGACTTCTGGCATGCCTTTGCTTGCTACATCAAACAACATCTCACCACAAAGCAGTGGTGGATAGAACTCAAGTTTGCCGTATATGCCTAGCTATCTTATAAATACCACCTAACGTGGATGGAACTGATTATAAATCTACTCTGACAGCCAATGGCATCTAGACTTCTAGAAATGCAGCAGTGACATTCATATAAGCCTTCCGAGTACACCGTATTTACTTGTCATTCGATTTCAGGCACCGAGACCAGTGTCTATTCTATCCTCAGAAATAGAACAGTCATAGCTGTCTATAAAAGATCCGAAGACTAAGATCTGAGAAATCAAAGGTAGAAAGTTTTGGTTGCAGAGCATTCAGAAAATACTGTCAGTACATAGGGACTATTAACATGAATTATTGGCTTAAACTCACAGGTCCCTAAGCTTATACCACTGAGCACCTCATCAGGAACGAAAAAATTCAGCAGATCCGACAAAGAATCGGTAACTAAGGTAGACAACGTCATAGATTTCACCTTCGCAGGAGTAATTTAAGGATTAGGTGGAACACTGAGTGCAACTGTTTGCAAAATAACTTATACTCAGTGACTCAAAACCATTTGAAGAATCTCTTTTAGGCCATTGTAAACGCAGAACCTACAAATTACCATAGGTGAAAAAGAAGCAGCAAGACCATTGTCGCCCAGTACGCCTGCAGCATGAAACACAGGAAGGGGATAAAAACGTCCACAACCCGTTACTTATTCTCCTGCAAGATAATAATATATTTATTCCTATCTATGTAGGACACACCAGTTGAACAGGCATGGATAAGTATTATTTAAATTATATAAATTTCATTTATTGTGTAATTACATTTCTGAAACCAATACCAAAATATCCAAATTATCAGATCAGATCAGCGACATCAGATCGCAGGTCTGTGAACTGACACCTTTAACTATTCTCATGAAAACTGTAAACCTTAACAGAATCGGTATCTAAAGTAGATAACCTCATTAACTTTGTTACTACAGAAGTAACAAAACGACTCGACGCTAAACTAAATGCTATTGTCTACAACGTTCCGGACAATGAGGCACTAAAAAGGGTACAGCGCATCTTACTTAGTGAGGCGAAAATGCCCAACTCCAAGACTAAGTACTACAGGCTGAAGAAGAGTCAACATGAAAAGTGTTGTCCTATTCGTTTTCAGTTCGAAACACCGGCAGAGGCCAGAAAATTCACTCACTCCCAACATAACCAATCGCAAGCCAGAAACTACAAACTAATAAAGGTTGCGGTGGACAAGACAATCATAGAAAGGCGCGTATATAATTATCTCACTGAGCCTAATTGTGGAATAATTAATAGGACATTGCAAGCAGCAATTATACGCAACCCTTCAAGAGATACCGTAGTACCCACCGCACCACCCCTCTCAAACCACACAGAATTATCCACTCAGAGTGCAACACCAACCGAAAGGCCACTAAATTATAATCAAATAGCCAAAAAACTATACCACCTATCACCGTAGATATAGACATGTCACCAAATAATCCCGGAAAGAAAGTCAAAATCCCCCGAAAGTCGGCCCTGTCCTCTCCTAGCCATAAGTCCATTGGTAAAAAAAGGAGAATGTGACCCCAAATCATGCCAACAACAACAATGGCAGTATAAGTAAGCCCACATTCCCCACGGTCAATAGTATTGGCACCCACAACGTGCGAAATAGCACCATGGCACACACTGATAACCAACGTCACAACAATGCCACCCTCAATAGTACAAGTGGCAATAGTCAGAGCTCGACCACCAACAACTCAGGGTATTCACAGTATGGCACACAAATAAACTTTGGTCG